CTCCTTCCCTCTTTTCCTCCTTCCCTCCTTCCCCCGGGACCTGGCCGGTGTCGGGGGGTCCCGTGTGCCGCCCCCCACTGCCGGGGGAGGGAGGAGAAGGGGGGCTCGGGGTCCGCAAAGCTTGTTTCATTTCAAAGTGGGACCGGGGCCGCTCCAGGACGCGCCGCTCGCAAATATAATCTTCATATTCAGTTCAATGGAGTCTCCTTATAATTTACAGCGGAGAGATAAGGCTGGAGGATGCAATGAAAAAAAAAATCTGAAGTCATCCTCTCCCCCCCGTACTGCGCTGCACCTTGGGCAGCGGAGCAGAATCCAGAATCTCAACTTCTCCCGACATATGTTTCCAGCAGATAAGTAAACAATCTGGACGTGAAATGAAAATTTTAATTAATGCAGTAATGCTATTACACCTCAAGTGTGCAAATCCCATTGCCTTGCACTGTGACAATGGGTGGGGAGGAGGAAAGAAAGCAGACAGACAACAAACCACAAGCAAATTCTAATCTGGGTTTTGCTTTTCACTCGGCTCCAATTGTTTTCATAGTTTGTTTCCTTTGAATTAATCTCATCCTTATATTTCAATAATTACCAGCTACTCATCTCTTCCCCTCTTTCTCTCAGCCACTCAAAGAGCCGGCTCCCGCTCCCTCGCTCTCCTCTTTTACATTGGGATCAACCTGGATTTAATTTCGGGGCTTTTAGGCGTACACATGTTGCCTTGTTGCAGCGTGGACCTGCACAGACCCTGCACGTTATTTCTTGTTTAGCTTTCCGAACGAGGAGCGTTCAGGAATAATGAAGTATTTTGCCCTAATAGAAAGGGAAGGAAAAAAAGAGAAAGGAATAATAATAATAATAAAGACTGCGTTGTCCCTTTGATGTCGGTATAAAACACCCCAACTAGAATAGAGGCGTGTAAAGGGCGAAAAGAGAGACGGGGAGGTAAAATTAAGGACCGAAAGAGAGGGGGAAAAAATAATAATAAAAAGGGTAAATTACAGACACATCCAAAGCCCCGAGGCTCCCTCGCTGCGGAGCGCGGCGCAGCGCGGGGAGCTCAGCCCGCGTCCCCCGGCGGCACCGGGCTCCTGCAGCCCCCCGAGGGGACAGGGACCCGCCGCGGCCGGGCCGCCTCCACCTCAGCATTTTACATTACAAGCATTTCGAATGGTTTGGTGGTGTTTTTTAGGAGAGGCGGTGCGGTCGCTGCGGTGGGGGGACCCTGGCGGAGCGCCCTGCCCGCCGGAGCCGCTGCCACCCGCAGCCCCTCGCCAGCCCCGCCAGAGACCCCGGCCCGGCCGGTCGGGGCCGCTGCGAGCGGAGCAGGAGGAGGAGGAGGAGGGAGGAGGAGGAGGAGGAGGAGGACGTGTTTCTGATCACCGCTCACTTTTAAACACTACAATCAAGGAATGTAGCCAGGAGGTCGGGCCTGGAATAAAACCGTAAAATCAGAATTGCAATCTTTTTGATGTTTCAAAGTCTCTTTGAATGCCTTTGATACACTCAATAGCAAATTTACTGGGCTATTATCACTAATAAGCAGAAATAAGTAATATCTCTCAGAGACTTCTATGGGCTTAATGTGTCCTTTAAAATAAAGTTTTTTAACATCACTTAATTCCCCTTCTGTCTTTGTCTCTCCTGCAGCAGAGCTCCCCGGCGATCGCACAGCTACACCTGGGCGCCAGCGAGGGCTCTCCCGGTCCCCTTGGCCTCCCGAGATCTTTTCTCCCCCTCTCTTATTTGTTGTTTTGTTTAAAGCAAGGCCAGAGTGGATGATTTTAAGTGTCTAGGTGGTCCTGCGGGCAGCACCGAGCCGAACCATTTCCGGAGAGGAGAGGAGAGGAGAGGAGAGGAGA